TTCCTGCAGCGCCGCGCAGGCGCCGTCCCGCCCCGCCGCCGCCCGGTGAGGGGCCGGGGCCGGGGCCGTTCGCCGGACCTCCCGCCCCACGAACCAAAGCGACGGGCCCAGCGAAGATTCGGGCGTTTGGTTGTCAAGAGGAAAACGGTGTTAACCGAGAGATCGGCGCTGCTCCGGCGAAAAAAAAACCGCCACCGAACTTTTGTAGCTCTGCTACAAAACGGCCCTTTCCGACACGAATTCGCGCCGGAAACTCCTTTCACTGACGAAGTAAGTTTTGCAGGTTGAAATAAAAAATGTCAAAAACCAGTCAGAGTTGGTCTCGATTCAACTCTATAAAATTTTAATGACTGTGCTCCTGTTAACTAAATATTCGGAACAGAAAAATAGCAAGTACTACATACGCTCTTCTTAAACAATAAATAAGCATTTTTTAAACAGGAATCAAATATAAACTTTACACATCCAAAATACCATATACAACCTATTTCGAAAAGGACTCTGGTTACAGAAACAGTGAAACTGCATCATGAACTGTCAGCTTTCCTATACAAATGGGAACGCTGCTGGTGGCAGCTTTTCCTTCAAGTTCCGCAGTCAGCTTACAGATTTTCCTACTTGGAGTAAGAGGTCTGGCTCCATCGTTTGACCGGATGGTCAGATGACAGAGTCTGGTGGAGTCAATAAGATTTGGTGGCGTTAGCAAGTCAGTTACCTTTTTCCAGCCTGACAAGTGTGAATCTGCCAAAGATATTGAACTAATTTGGTCTTTCCAGAAAGGCGGATGTGATAAGGCTGTAGTAAGATTCTACGCTCAGGCCATGTTTTATCCAACTGAAAACATCTTTTTATCGTTTTGTCACCTTTGAAAAGAACAAGTTGTATGGACTGTCTCATTAAGACCACAACAGCAGAAGTTAACAATATATACAAATGAAGTTTTACCGGTTTTCTAAACCGCAGAAAACAAAGAGAGACTTCCATAGAAAGGATTTCTTGGCTCTCAAACGTCACTTAGAAACTCAGCTTAACATACAGTTGTTCTGTGGCATTAGTAAAGTTCACCAATGAAAGACTTTGCTGTACGCCGTAAATAAACCCAAGTGTTCCTCAGTCTCGTTGCCGTTGTTCATGTGGTATTTAGTTGGCACTGTCGTTCGGTTTCAGCTTTTTTCTCTTGCCGGTGGTTAGCTGCAGCCCAGAAGGTTATTTTTTTCAGCACTTGCTGCAGAAGTTTCGATGGCAAACATGGTATTTGGTTCTTTAGGAGAGCTGCGTTCTTACCAATGCAGTCAAGACACAGCCTGAAGAAGGAAAAGAAGGAAAAAGAAAAAAAAACAACAAAGAGGAACAAAAAGAAAAGAAAGATTTAAGTAAGCTGTCTCTAACCTGAAGCCAAAAAAGTGACATCTAACAAAAGCTTGTGGTGTTCATTCCATAGGTTGTGCTTGCATGTGCAGCAGAGTTGTGACACGTATTTAAACTGCTACGGCTGGCGCACGCTGCGGGGTTCAGACATTTACTGAGGAGGCAGTTTTGTGTTTGACCTGCCTGTGTAGGAGCACCCGGTTAAAACCCCCGTGCCGCGACGATTTACCCCGGGCATCTCGTGCCAAAACCTCAACTCACCTGAGAAGCGAATAAGGTTGAGTCTGAAATATCAACAAGTCGCTGCAGTGACCCTGATCAACAGAAAAAAAAAAAAGCCATTAAAATCACAAAGAGATTATCTCAGAAATATTGCTGTTTTCTGGATTAATGTGACGTTTATTACCACATGCATAATTTAAAACTGGTAATGCCTAAATAATTATTTATAAAGAGTCTGAATAACAAATTCCTTTTTAAGAACCTGACAAGGGCAGGAAAAAACCCTCCTAAATGACTTTCCTAAGGTCACATCTCACAACACTGTATGATACGAACGAACCCAATAATATCACCGATTGTATTAACTTTATTTTATATCAATTTTAATTATCATAGTGGTAGGATTTCATTTTTCAGTTTACTGACTGTGTCCATGAAATGCAAGTCATCTTTGCTTCCACCAAACACCATCACTTCTCCTTCTTTTCCAAGGCAGGCTGTATGCCACAATCTAAAAAGAAAATTATAAATAGAATTAGTGACCAAGTAACGAGCAGTTGCATGTTATGAGCAAAACAAATCTAAAACAAAAATGTTTTGCAGGGTTTCAGAGAAGCAGTAAGTTTTCTTGCATATGAACCTCTTCACCTCAAATAGACTCTCCTCCATTCTTCATATTCAATTTCTTTTCAAAAGAATCTTTTGCTGCAAGGCTGTAAGTTCCTTTTAACTAAAATGGAAAGGTCACTTTTCTAATCCTGTGATTGCACTACGTATGCACAGAGCCTCGAAGCCTTACTGTCTTACAAGTCGTGCACTGCTTAAAAAAAATGTATTTTACGAGCTGCTCTGTGAGCTGCAGAAAGAATCAAGCCTGTTCTGTAGCAACCTGTGTCTCAGGACAGACCTTCCATTCTTGGGAAAGAACGGAGAACAAGTATGGAGCCGTCACGGAGTGAAGTGAGTACGAGAGTCTCTTTTCTGTTCGGCCATTTCTTTGCACAGAGTGTGTTGGGATTTAGTACCTCTGAGCTTCCTCCTTCTTTGTCAAACTTAGGGAAATGGGTCAATTGACTCGTAACGTACACGGGCAGAAGAGGCAGCCACACGTGCACAGAGCACTGTAATGTCACCTTTGCTTCTTAGAAAACCAAGACAAGACGTTATTTCAAAAGTCTTCAGAGGTAAAAAAAAAAACAAACACAACTTTAAAATATGATACTGCTCATTTTTTTAACAATATAAAAGGAGAGAGCAATGTGACTACTCATCTCATGAGGATTTTGCTGAATGATTACATTTCATACAGACCAATGTATTTTTGTCATTATCTGATTCTACTTATATATATTTTGTCTTATCTACCACTACTTCAACAAATGGTTACAGTGGAAAATTTTTAGAAAACAACTATACAAAACAAGCTTTTCCCAAGATCAGCTTTTCTTTTCCTTTTTTTTTTTCTTTTTAAGTTTTCCACTATTTCTTTATTTCATAACTACAGTTATAATGGCTTTAAGATTTGGGGGGTTTTCAGTACTGACTCTCATCCCTAGACACTAGGATGAGAGCTTCAGAACACAAGTTACCCTGTTTCAGTTTTACTCTTCCTCCAAAGATCCCTGAGGATCGTTTTCTGCATGTTCATTACTTACATCACACCCACAAGTAAATTTTGTGTTGTGCACGCAAAAGCACATGGTATTAAAAACCAAAACCAAACCTGACTTGTATAATCTTGCTTTAACAAAGATTCTGCTACTTCAGCAGCTACAATTTGCTAGATTCATTTTTTTTATTATTAGCAGATCAAAATCTGATTTTTCTACTGGTGTATCACCGCTGAAGTAAATGTCACAAGATGATTATCACCACAGAGCTCTGGCCCCTTAAATCAACTTAACCAAAATAATAATATGCACCACTAGAACTTTCATGCAAAAGTAAACGTTCTCACTTTCTTACTGCATTCACATCAGAAATTATTCCCCGTTCTCCTTAGGCTCAACTGTATCCCACCTTTTCTCTTCCTCATACCTGTAGATAGATCTGTCTCTGCCTTATCTGCATTACGAAAACTCTGGCCCGGACTTCATCACCGGAGAACACTGGGAAGCCTTTCCTGCCTTGACTTTGTTGACATCCTAGCTTGCAACCTGATGCTCTTTCTACAGACTGACAGAGTTTACGTCCTCTCACAGCTGCTCTAACTTATCACCTAAACATTCTAACAAAGCATGTTATTTAAATTATACAGATGCTGAATTGACATACGTCATCTTTTCACACAGCTCTTCTAACAAGAACAACAGAATTACATTGTCATTAAAACACTGGGAATATGTAAGTTAAACATACAATTTGTCTGGATTTTAACCTGGCATGCAAAACGTTAGCTGAAGCACAACTGATGGGACAGAAAGAGGAAAAATATTTTCTACCCATAGAGAATCACAGAGCTATAACCTGGAAGACAATTTTTTAGAAATTACTAAAAATGAAGGTTGAAGGAAGTTATTCTTTACAGAATTTAAGGAGGGAAACAATTTTGCAGAAGCATCAGGAAAATACACTAATGCAGTTTTGATATATCATGTATCATTATAAAATAATACAAATATAGAAAAGAAGCACATCTACACCTGTTACTGCCAGTGCATTTTAAGTCCTGCTGTAAAGCTGTATGAGTGATAGAACCAACTTGAACCTTTTTCAGCTGCAGAGATCCTG